CTGGTGTGGTTCAATAAACAAGGGATCGGATTAAGAGTCAAGGAAACATAGGCATTTTTCTTTTGAACCAATGCTCATTAAATATAACTAAAGCCATCCAGAAATGGATTGGGCTGCAACCTGGGGAAGAGAATTTCTCAAACGGAGAGGTGTGCAGCAGCAACTCTCCAGCAGGGATTCATGCATCAAGCAGGGGTTTGACCCTTCAGGTCCCTTCCAATTCCTGGAATTTGTGACTCATTTTCAGGGCCAATCCAAACAATTAACCTCACTCCGCCTCACTTTCTTTACTGTAAAACGGCACTGACACCTATCTACCTCAGAGGCATATTCTGAGGTTTAGTGAGCTATTTATAAGGCATGTTGCATACTTCATAAAAAGGGGCAATGTAAACAGCAAAGTGTATTATTATTTAAGGAGAAGTCACAGGAAATGTTAAACGCCCACTGAAAATAGCAGGTTCTTTTTTCCTCCTCCATATACTTCCCCTGTTCCCAGAGTCATTCAATGTGCATGCAAATCAGCATTTTTTTCTTTGTCAGATGTGAGTGCAGAGTAGCTAAGTGGCCAAAGCAAGTGTTTAGAATTGGCCATTTGGATGTGTTTAGAAGTTGTCTCTATACGCAGAGCCCAGCTCAAGTTCATGTGGAATTCACAGGCCCCTTGCTGTAACCCAGGTGTGGTTCCCAATTGCATTCCTGGAGGTGGGCGTGGAGGAAGGAGGCTCTTAAACTATGTCATAGCTACATGTCTTTATCTTTTTATTTAGAATGATTTGAACTTAGAGGAAAGTTGCAAGAAATGTACAATGCAGCCCTATATACACTTCATCTAGGTTATCATCTGGCCACATTTACTTTAATGCTCCATGATTGCCTTAATGGAAAAACAACTACAACAACCATAATAATAAGTAAGGAACAGTATTGTTGAACCATTTTGAAAGTAAGTGGCAGATATTATGACCTTTCTACCCCTAAATAAATTAGAACAAGGACCTTCCTTGTTATAACCACACTACAGTTATCAAATACAGGAAACTTAACGCTGATACAATACTATTATCACATATAAATATGATAATAGCAAAAAAAAAAAAAAGCCTCTGCAGAGATGCCTGGGGCTGGGAAAGCTGGTGCCGGCTGGCCAGGGGCCTCATGGCAGGTTGTGCTTATACACATGGAGCCTTTCTAGTGACCAGAGGACACTGGTTTCCCCTTCAGAACGTGGCTTTGTTCCGGGCACAGACAGCCCGCTTGGAGTGGTCATGACCAAAGCTATTATAAGTCCTCTGGCCTTTCTCACCTGTCCAGAGGAACCCAGAGACAACTTACCCCACCCTCACTCTTACGGAAGAGTGACCTGTGCCTACGCTGCCCTCACACTCTCCTCACAGGGAAAGGCTGATTGGGGTTGCTGGATCAACTTGATCACACACAGGCAAAACTTGTGCTGGACCTGGTCCTGTTAATATGCTTCTAAAATAAATAGAACTTGATCACATACTCTCTAGGTAGGTAGGTAGATAGATAGATAGACAGACAGGTAGATATTTCTACTTTCTCTAATTATCCCAATAATTGTCCTTACAGTATTGTTTGGAATCCAGGGTCTCTCATTGCATTTAGCTGTCATGTCCTTTTCGTCTGCCCTTTGGTCTAAACCAGGTCAGCCTTCCTTGAGCTTTCATGACCTTGGTATTTTTAAAGAGCACAGGTGGTTTTACTGCAGCACGTCCCTCCTTTGGGTTTGTTGGTTGCCTCCCTCTGTGCATCTTATTGGTAAGATGCACCATGGGCCAGGAAAATCATCACCGGTATCAGCTTTGTGTGCACCCTTGCTCTATGGAACCGGAGTCCATGCTGGGAGCACCGGCCCCCTCAGTCAGGGCTGGCTTCCAAACACTGGACCGTAAGCAAAGTCAGGATGTGTGCCTACAATCAATGTCCTTTCCCTGAAGACATTATTTGTGTAGCAAATAATTTTTAACTATCCTTTACAAGGTGTAAATGTTCAATGGATTGCTGCAGAATGCTAACAAAAGGGAACAGTTTCTGTCAATTCTGTGAACTCAACAACAACAACAACAACAAAAATGCCTTTTGAATTATAAATTCTAGAACATTTGCTAAGGAAGGCAGAAAGCTTTTTAAGCAAACAGTTGCTCCAGAAAAGAGAAATGTAAACCTCACTGCTCCTTTCTCATTGTTCTTCCCACAACCAGGGTCAGTAATCTTTATATCTGCTGATCCTAATCTTTATATCTGCTGATCCCCTCCCTACCTCAGGGCCATTCACCTGTATACAGACAAAACGAGAGCACATCAGTGAGTTTTCCCAAAGATAAATTTAGTCCAATTAGAAACTGGTCTTTGTGCTGAGTCTTTGTCCTTTCTCCTCTCTTAGTATTAAAATAACTTTCTTTTGTAAAACAATTGTGAAAGTGCTTGATCATTTTTTTTTTGAGAGTGTGTGTGTATGCATAAATGGCCGCATTTGCCACGTAAAGGTTGAAGGCTTTATGCTGATCTAAAATTTCCTTTCTCTGTTTATTTCTGCAGTTATTTTTTTTTATAAAGTTAGTTAGTGATTCAGTCAGTTGTTCAGTTGATCTGAAATCTAAAAGTCAGAAGGAGCCACTGATTTGGTGAAAAGAGCCCTAGATTGGAAGTCAAAAGGTTGGCCTGGCATGAAGCCCTCAATCTGCCATTTAATGGCCTCACCATGACCTTGAGCAGGTTGCTCCAACCTCCATCAGCCTCAGTTCATAATTCATCAAATTAATAGCAGCTTATGCTGCATCCACATCATGAGAGTTAATGGGATAAAATCCATCTATGGAGCTGTGAGGACCTCAAAGCAAGATGTGTTTATGTCACACCCTCAGTGGTTGGCATAAAATGAACATCCAGGAAATGCTATTCTATAAAAATGAATGAATAAAGTGAGAAAATATAGTCCACTGTAAATGCTATAAACGTGTGTGTAAGTCATCATGAAAAGAAAGACACACTTCAAAATTGACATTCCATTCCTCAAAGAACAAAGGAGCACTTCATGACAGCATATGAAGTGCACTTCTGACATTTTTCCCCTATTTTATTGAAAGGCTACATTGAGCTCTCCTGTGTTCATGCTCAAGTTAAAAAAAAAAAATGTATGCAGTTGCCAAGCAGGAGGGTGACAGGAAAAAAACAGGAGAGACACAAACAACCGGAGTAAATGAGAAAGGAGAATGGGTCCCCGTTTCAAATTTTTCCCTATCTCATCAAATAATCCAAAGCCATACCTGTTCCCTCAGCACCAACAATTTCCATTTGTAAAGCAGGATGCTGAAGGGAAAACGGGGGGCTGGGCTCAAAGACAACACTTTGAACCCATGGCTTCTCCTACCTTCACAGCCCTTAGTAAGTTACTCAAGTGCTCTGAGCCCTGGTTTCCCTTTTTGAAATAATGAAGGTAAGAATCCTGGCTTCCTAGGATTATTGTGAGAGTAACAAGCATACAAGTCCTTGTGCTTGGTTTTCTTCTATTTTTCGTACTCATCAGTGGCCCAGGACGAGTGATTCTGGAAGAGGGCAAGTGAGCTTGCTATTGGTACTTTAGAGCCTTCAACCATGTTGACTGATTTGAAAGGAAGCAAGAGTCCAGGGAGGCTATCATTCTAACATTTTCTATTTTCATGTTAAAACATTAAAAAGGATAATGAGCACTACATTTTGATATGGTTCTCCAAGTCCTCCCTCCCTTGCCCCCTTCCACTGGACTCTGAAGAGTAGCTTAATTACAAATTTACTGTACATCAGAACCAAACCTATGCATAATGTTAGAGGAATCTTATAACATGTGAGCCCTCCAAATGTGGCTTCTGGGGGCAGGGGGGTGCAGGGGGGGGGAGACTAAAAAAATAAAACAAGAAAATGGAAAAAAGCATTAAGTCCAGAGGTAGCTGGTTTCCATGCTGTATATTGCACGGTGCATCCCACAATTTCCATCTGAATACTAATAAAGTTTAATATTTCCTATTGATTACTTGAAGCTGACAAATCCTGAAGTCACAGAACTGTGTAATAAAAAAAAATAAGTCAATTTTCCAGTGTGATGGGAGTTGTTGACTGAGAGGCAACATCATGCAGTGTAGCAAGCACCGTTAATGTCGGGGGAAATGAGATGGAGGCTTTATGGAGCGGTTTGTCTTGCCCTAGCAAAGCACTCCTGTTAAAAAATGGCACCGCTCAGTAGATTCATACTTGTGGCAAATCAAACATTCTCCGTCAAGTGAGTTGGCTGTATACACTTTCCTACCATTACTAATGGTGGATTTTTAAAGAATTTAAAGTGTTTCTGCTTTTATCATCATCATCTCTAAAAATTCTATGGTCTTTTTTTCAAGAAAGAATTTCCCAACTTAATGTGCAATCATATTAGAAAGAGAATATAATGAGCCATTTATAGTTTATAAAGCAGGAACTGGAAGTTTATATAGAGCAGCACAACAAATTAGCTGGTAAACAGTATGCTATATATAAATACTTGATGAAAGATGTACAGGGGTTTAGAGCCCCAAGGGATTCTACAATTGTATTCTATTGTTATTTGTTTGTTTGTTTGTTTGTTTGTTTGTTTTGTTTGTTATCTGTTTCACTGAACACTTTTGGAAACTTCAGGCAACTTTTTATTTATAAAAGTTTTACAGTTACAGACTAACTTGTTAAACATTTGAGGTGTTGGTTGCAAGCTGGAGAGGACAATTGCATTCCAAATAAATTCAAACTGCACTGGGGAAAATTGTGCTTCCTAGCCACACTTACCCGCAAAAGGCAAATACAGTATAATTCACACAGAAAGAGCAATGACAAATGAGAAGTCAATAGTGTGACCTTTAGATAGGAAGCCTCTTGATACAGTTGGGGAATGATATGAGTTTGATTGTAAATGGCAATAAACAAATATTCTTTTGACAGAGCAATCGGTTGCATGATTGGATGTCATTTTCTAGGTCTAATTCGCCTGCAAGAGCTCATCAAAGCTCCCTCCAGATATAACATCAAAATCAAAATCCGCCAGCTACCCTCTGGGAATAAAGATGCCAAGCCTTTACTCAAGGAGATGAAGAAGGGCAAGGAGTTTTACGTGATATTTGATTGTTCACATGAAACAGCTGCTGAAATCCTTAAGCAGGTAAGCTGGGGTAGGGAGGAAGTGGAAGTATGGGGAAAATGTTCATTTCTCTTTCTCAAAAATGCCTTCTGGGTTTACTTAGTGCAGCATGATTAGATTGCGGCAGTCCAGTTTAGGCTGGAGATTGCCATTTTCAAAACCCCTTTAAAGAGCCAAAGGGCTCAGGGAGTTTGGATGGCTGGGTTGAAGCCCCCTGTTCATACGTAGTTGTAGATGTGTGGCCCTGTGTACACACTGGGAGATGTGTAGATCATGCTGGAGATGTGGAGAGGAGAAGATAGCATTTCAAGATGATTAAGCATCTAAGCATCTCTCTCTCTCTCTCAATCTCTTGAAAAGACTGAGCCAGATTTCATTTACACAATGCCTGACTTGTCCTAAATACATCTTCCTCATGGCAAGACCTCTTTTGTCAAACATACAGAATCCCAAGCAGAGTGAAGCAGGGTGTAGGGGCAGTCCCAGAAAAGATGCTTCCTTTTCTAATCTGTTATAGACAATGAGATGCCACGCATTAAGTTCCAAAGATAATGTGGGTAGAAACACTTGATACATTGTGAAGTCTTATATAAATGAAAGATGTCAGCATTGCTAAGAATAATAACAACAGGGTAATAATTTCTGGGCACTTCAGGATTTAGCATTGGTCTTATCCTCAAGAAAGAAAATTCAGAATTCCAAAAAAGATAAAGCATAGACTAGTGGTTCTCAACCCAGAGTGATTTTGCCCCCTCAGGGACTTTTGGCAATGCCTGGAGACATTTTTGATTGTCATATTGAGGACAGTGGCACGCTATTGGCAGCTAGGAACTAGAGGCCAGAGATACTCTTAAACATCCTATAATGCACAGGACAGCACCCACAACAAAGAACTATGTAGCCTAAAATGTCAATAGCAACTGAGAAACTCAGGCATAGCTAAAGACAGTGGGGAAAGCTAGCCGGATGCTTAAAATAGAAGCATTAATAAAAGATCAGAGGATTGAATTGGGGGAAAAGTATGAAAAAAATAGCCAGATTCTACATCCGGGGCCTAATGGGTGTCTCTTGGTATTTACGAGTGGTTACTGTGGCATAAGACAATGTCCTTCCCTAAAATGACACAAGCTGTTATTGCACTCCCTTGTTTAAGATGTCTGGGGGGTGCTATGTGGTTGACTAGCAATGGACCCCTTTCTTGGGGAGACTGACCCCTCCAGACAAATGCAGGACCCTAGACTTCTGGATCCCCTTTCGAGCTTGACTCTCCAGTTTCCTATCCTACACTTGAAGGGCATCTCTTGAGTTCAGAGTTAAGCTTTTAATTGCACTGAAAGCAGACAATCGGGCAAGTCAACTAGAGGTCTCCAGTACCTCCCGGATGGTTACACTAAAAAAATCCCTTTAGAGTCAAAGAAATATTTAAAGTTGCTATTGAAAACTATCACAGACATCATCCAAGCTAACTCTTTCTCTGTGGAGGAGGTAAAATGACTTTCCCAGAGTCACACAGCCAGACACTGGCACTCAGCCCTTTTACCCCACCAGGCCCTTTCTCTGCTCTGCACTGTTCCATCTCCAGTGAGGTGGAAAGTAGCTGTTACTTACTTCAAGATGACAGTTGCATTAACAAACCTTTAGATATTAGAATTATCTCTCAGTAAGCAAAGCAGGCGTGTTGCAGTGATGTCAACAGCAAAAGAACTTTAAAGGTAAATAAATACAATCAGCAGCTTTTTTATCTTAAGGCCTCTTTGGAGAATTTTAATACAGTTCATTAAAGTGTGTAATGGAGTGTGGACCAGACCTGAGAAAAACACCCAGATTTCCTGTGTAGCACTCAAAACGCAAAGAACCATCTCTTCCCAAGAGCCTGTTCCCACAGAAGCTGAGGGCTTCTGTTCCATTTAAGAGAATGATTTGCTGATGAGGCCTTTCTGGGTTAGATACCCATTTGGCTCACATAGCAGGTCATATGTCTCCCACAGGGCAGGCTTCGAATAGGCAAGAGATGTCCATGGTAGGCGTGGTAGAGTTTTTCCTCCATTTCTGTAAATGTGGACCTATTGTTCCTTTTATTTAAGTGGCTCTTTCCTGGTAGCATAGAGATTACATCATTCCGATGATTTTTCTTTTTATTATTTTTTTCTTTTTATTTTTTTCTGTTTGCAAAAAAACAAACCCAAAATCCCTCTAACAAAAGCTCTCCCAAGAAATGCATGCAGCATAAGGGAGAGTGGGATTAGCTCAGTTTTGCACCAGCCATTGACATGAACCCTTTTTTCTGCATCCTCTGTCTTATCATAGTTTGTCCTGTGTTTACTTTCCCTAATTATGTGAGTGGTAAGATTGGCTGTGAGGCTTGGGGGAGGTGACTAGAGAATGTTCATCCACTTTTTGCTCTAGACTAATGACCTGCATACATCAGGAGGTGGAACCTTTTAAAAGGTTCCAGGAAGCCCTACCTTAATGCAAGGGAGAAGGCAACTGCTATTTTTTGAAATCATGATAGAAGACCAAGGTTGGCTTAATGGGGCTTTATGTGGCCCTCCAAGAAGCTGTTATGATTTGAAAAGTGATATTAAAGACCCCAGGCCTTTCTATTCTGGTCAAAGTGAGGCACGAGTGCTCTGCGTGACCCAGTTTAACTTGCTCCATTAGCCCTGCCAACAGCCCGTAGAAGCAGAGGCAGAGACCTTCCCTGCAGCTGTCTGGTGAGTGCCTCTCTAGAGGGGCTGAGGAGTTAGGAGTTGAAGGTCCTAAGTCCAGCCACCACTCAATCAAGCTCTCTTTACCTGAGAAAAGAAAAGGAAGGAAGGAGACTCATCTATGTCCTTTACTGAGGGTCCCACCAGGTGCCAATGATGTGACAGTGCCTGCTATTCTATACATCAGCTCAAGCAATCTCGAATTTACCTGAGCTAAATTTAGTATTCTCACATCAGAGCTGAGGAAACTGAACCTGCCCCATACAAAGCCACTCTTTGCATAGCCAGGCTGCCATATGGTCTCCAGACCACCTGAGCTCAGAGCCTGGATGGCCACTTAACCATGAAGGGCCCCCATTCAGAATGGATAACCATTTCATTCCAGAAATTTCTGGGAGAAACACCATTACTTGCTGCTGGTCCCCTTTAGATGAAATGAGTATTAATAGCTTTCATTTCTTTGGTGACTGTAATCATTGCTGAGAAAAGTTTCTCTGCCAGGTATACTTGGCTTTCTTTTTGTGCACATTTTTCATTATTTCCCTGCACCTTCATCATATTTTACCACTTTTTAATGAATTTCAAGGAAAAAAATTACATGCATTTTAGGGAAGACACTTGACATTTATCTAAAAGTAAAAATTGGGGAAAAGTCTATAGTTATTCTTGGGCATGCTAATCATTCTAGCAAAATAATTATTTCTACTCATATTGAGCAAGTACCATATTATGAGAATCTGAAAAGGTATTTCCCAAACATTATTTGGAAATTCAAATGTCAGGACTTGATTAAACTACAGAGGCACATATGAGCAAACCGCCTTGGGAATTTCTTCAGCCTGAGTGTGGCCCCAACAACCAGCCACATGCACATGAGACCCATCACGTCAGTTGGTATCCTCTTCTCTCCCTGCCCACCCACCGCCTCCCAGCAGGCATTGTGATGCTTTGGGAGGATGCTGCTCTCTCTCCTTAACCTGCCTTCAACGTGGAAACCCCAGCTCCCCAGGGACTGTTGGGAGATGAATTTAAACATGAGGCACAGGGTAGGAAAATTCCACAGATGGAATGTCCAATGCCATGCAGGGCAATGAGCAACCATCTCCTTTAATAGATGCAATAACCCTTGATAGGTTGGGTATTCGCCTTCTTCTGCAAATGAAAATTGAAGCTCAGAGATAGAAATAGTGTCATCTACCATGTACTGAGCATGCTTTTAATGCACAAACCTGTGCCCCGCATGACCTGACCCAGCCCCTCTCTCTCCAGCCTCCTTGCCAGCCTCCAGCCTCCATTACTCGATTTCAAAAGCCCTCCACCTGCCACATCACGTGCCATTCTTTTCCCACTTCATGATCTTTTCACTTGCAGTTGCTGACACCTGGAACATCCTTGCCCAAAGTCAGCCTCGCCTAAGCTTTCACGATTATCTTTTGAGAGATAAAGGAGCAGGCATTCCTTTCTCATTTCCTATGACCTTGCACTCTACTTAGTTGTTCCATTAGCCCAATAAAAATCTAACCAATTTGCTATGTGGATTCCTTTGTTACCCATCGCCCTTACTCTACAGCAAGTTTGAGAGGACAGAAGCCTTCTTTGTCTTGTTCTCCCAAATCCCCAGCACCTCCTACATTATTTGACACAGAGTGTATGCTCTGTTGAATAAATAAGTGAAATGGATGAAGGAATGACCCAAGAACTGTGCTAAGAGCTCTCAATCCGTAATCTCTAAAATCAGTTACCTTCCACCCCACTCAGTGTGCTGTGCTCTCAACTCTGCCACGCACATCTCAGCAAGTTGTTGTTCTGTGCCTGTTTCCTCGAAACGAAGGCTTTATTCAACCCCTGAAGTTTCGTATTACTAAGAACTGTGATGCGTTTGAGCCTACAATTCCACTTCCTGAAAATAAACTTGCATCTTTGGAGAATGGCACAGTTGCTTTCAAATCCTGGAATAGGATTGGGAAAGTAAGTCACTATTTCAAGCACAGTAGATAGAATCCTAATGGTTCTCTGGTGGGGAGGGAGAGACGCTACGGTGCCCCATCCAGGAGGGAAGCTAAACCCGGGCTGGGTCGGTTCCCTGTGCTGGAGAGTGGCCAGTGGGCAAGCATGAACATACTATTTCTGACTCAGAATATGGGCTGTCTTGTTTACATGAACAAGAGCATCAGAGGAGGAATCCCCAACCACACAGCCACACATACACACAGCACTTGTGGCAATGAGTATTAAGCTATAATTGAATAATCAGTCTCTATAAAACATTTTAGCATCAAAATATTTTGTAGAATTCTATTGCATTTTCTCCTA